TCCGATTGGACCTCCTGGGGACTTTTGGAAATTTTTAATACATCTTGTAATGAAGTGGGAAGCTTGTCACTCACCCGACCAGTGATTTAAAAAAACATATTGTAAGGTGTGCTCATCCCTATCTCACATGGTGAAATATGTTTTCATCTTCCGCTCACTTATCAAGAGAATCGTCCTTCATTTAACGGTTCAAATAACATACAATTTGTTGAACATTTAAACCAATAAAATCTTAAGCTCAACCTGATCCTGTTTTGTACACACTGTTTAGGATGAAGTCCTATTCGGAAATACAATGGTTATAATCCAAAACCGTCCGCCTTTTGCAGCTGCTATACTGGATAGTGAAAGTACTCGTCAATGAAGTTTTGATTTTGGTCTGATTTGATTTCATTTATGATTGTCACATGTACCTAGGTGCAGTGAAAAGTTATGTTTTGCATGCAGTACAGGAAGATCATATTATACAAAGTGCCTTAGGGTAATAGAACAGCGCGAGGAATACAATGTTAGGGCTACAGAGAAGGTGAACGAAGAGCGAGAGCAATATTAAATTTAAAACTTGAGAGGTCCATTCAGAAACCAAAAAGAGCCCGGAAGAAGTTGTCCTTGAATCTGTTGGCCGGTGTGTTTAAGATTTTGTATCTTCTGCCCAATGGAAGAGGTTAGAAGAGATTATAACTGGGATTTGAGGGGTCTTTGATTATTTTGGCTGCCTTTCTGAGGCAGAAGAAGAGTAGGTGGAGTCAGCAGGTTGGAGGTTGGCTTGAGTGACGGACTGGACTGTGTTCACAACTCGCTGCAGTTTCTTACGGTCCTGGGCAGAGTTTTGGCCATACCAAGCCGTGATGCACTCAAATAGAATGCTTTCTATATTGCATCTATAAAACTTGGTAAAAGTCTTTGAGGACATGCCGAATTTCCTTAGCCTCCTGAGAAAGTGGAAGCATTGTTGTTTTTTCTTGACCTTAGCGTCGGTGATCATCACTTCCAGGATCTTGACGCTCTGGAACATCTCCACTTCAGCACCATGTAGACAGGGGCGTGTCCTCCACCTTGCTTCCTGAAGTAAATGACCAGATCTTCCGTCCTGCTGACTTGGGGGAGAGATTGTTAACTTGAGTGCAAGCAGTTGACTTGGGAAACATACCTCCAGTAAACTAAATACGCCAAAACCAAATCAAACGTTCGTTCATAAGGGCAAAGGGACATAGCCCCACGAACTTGGCCCGTCAATTGGATCATGGCTGTAACTCCATTCCTGTGCCTTGGTAATTAATTAACTTGTCTGTGAAATCTTGTTTTATTGATTTGCGTGCATAACAGCCATAAATAAACTCAAAAACGGATAAAGAGATAATGAAATCTTTTACATTCGTGAATAAAGGCTACAGACGCAAGGAAGTTATGTGAAGATTTCTTTTCACCCAGAGGGCAACGGGAATCTGGAACACTATGAGAGAGGTAGAGGCAGAGACCCTCGGAACATTTAAGAAGTGTTTAGATGTACACTTGAGATGCCAAGACGTACAATGGGACAAGTCCTAGAAAACGGGATTAGAATAGTTAGGTCGCTGGTTTTAACCGGCGCAGACTCGATGGGCCTTTTACTGTGCTATATACAACACTCTGATTTTGGAATTCACTGGTTAGTCCTTAGCAGTAATTCAGAAAGGATGTCAGAAGGGTGCTGAAGAGATTTTTAGAGTCGTACTGGGAATGAAAGCCTTCAGTTTGGGTTGGAACGGCTGGAGGAGGCCTGGGCTCTTCGCTTTGGAACAGAGTTTATGTCGGCGAGAAAACTGGTGACAAGAGGGCTCCCGTTTAAGGGGTTTGGTCGGTAAACAGGCAGAAACAACATGAAGAAACATTGTTTTTTTTTCCGCAGGGTGGAGTTATGAGCTGAATGCACTGTCTGATATGAACTGCATAAATATTCGAAAGCCAATCACTCCAGGCCAATGGGAAATATAGATGGCCCCATCAATGAAGCTGGTGAGGTCCCCAGGGTCAAAATGCTTCCTTGCTCTTGGATACTGTATTGGGTTCAACACAAGGCCATGTCAATTATCACCTCACAGAATCACAGGATTGCGACGGTGCAGGAGGGGGCTATTCGGCCCATCATGTCTGCACCGGGTCTCTGAATGAAATTTCCCTCCATGCAACCTTACACATTATTTCCTTTTTTCAAATAATCATCGAGGCCCCACTTGAATGTCTCGATCATCCATATCTCCAGCAGACTGGCAGACCGTGTATTCCAAACACTAAGCACTCTTTATGTAACACGTGTTTTACTTACTCACGTCTCGCTTGCTCATTTTGCAAATTACTTTCTAATCTGTATCCTCTCATTGTCGCTCCTTTCACCAATGAGAAAAAAATGTTCCTTATATAGTCTGCCCAGGTCCCTCATATTCGAACACCTCGATCAATTCCAAGCCTTCACTTTTCCAAGAACTGTCCCAAACCTCTCATATCTATCCTCAAACTGAAATTCCCCATCCCTGCAACCATTCTGGTGAATTTCATCTTCACTCTCTCCAGTGTCAAAATACGGCGCTCAGAACCGCATCTGACACTTCACCCAGAGTATTGTAAAAGGTTAACATGGCCTCTTGTTTCTCGGAGTGTATATTGAGTGCTATATCGATGTGGGCAGTTGCCGATTGCGCAAACAGTGTGAGGCAGCGATCAGCAGAGGCTCTGTCCGTGTGAGTGAGTGAGTCAGTGTTCACAGAGTTACGTAAAGAGAAGGCAGAGTTTATCAGGAAACGAAAGAACCAGTCTGAGATCTTTGTTAGACTCGGTTAGGCTTTCACATAAACTCCGCAATTAAGTGTCTCTTACAGACAGTGAACACACCGACACCATTTGCTTCTACCGTCAATGTCCCTTTACTTTCGTCAATTTTATAGGAAAGGAAACAGGAACAGGAGAGAATTAAAAACGAAGAACTGGGGATGCTGGAAATCCGGAACAAAATCAGAAAGCGCCGGAGAAGCTCAGCATGTCTGGTAACATCTGTGAAGTGAGAAACAGTTAACGTTTTGAGCCCAGTCCGTCCATTTCCGCTTATTGGTTTCCGTGCGTGACCCGCTCAGTTCTCATTCGGTTCGATTCTGACGTAAAACAAGACACTAGTCCGATACAGAATCTTCGGACTGCATTAAATGGAGAGGAAATGTTACCGCATGGGAAAGGTTCCAGCCACGACAGCAGAAGGCTAGGCGGCGGTTTTACTCTGACACAGGATTTCCGGCCGCCCACATACCATGTACTCGGGTCAGCTGACGGTTGTACTACCTACAAGTCATAACGCGTTGTACTTGTCAAACTTGTAACTGGAATCCATCTGAATCGATTCGAGCAGATTTTTTTTTCGAATTAGTGTGAAACTGTACTGTGAAACTCTGGGGGCTAACGCCGACATCGAGAATCTCGAGAATTAAAAGGAAGGCGCGAGCATACTACCAGCAAAAGTTCACAAGGAGGTTGGGTGAAAGACATCAGAAAGAAAAAGGCAGAGATCTACTTTCTTTACTAAAATAAAAGGATCCATTTATTATTAAAAATAGAACTTTCCTCCCCACAAGTTCTGAAGATGACAAGCAACACAAAAACAGCCAAGTAGGCCGTTCATCAAACTCTCACACAGGAAAGAATAGATCTCTACATCACAAAGGGGCAAACCCCATATACATACAGGGGCAAACTTCATATACATACAGGGGCAAACCCTATATATGTACGGGGCAAACTCCATATACGTACAGGGGAAACGTTGTGCGGGTAAATACAAAGATATACACAAGAGTAAACCTCATTTACACACGGGGCAAAGGGCATACACAAGGGAGAAAACATACACACGGGAAATACACATAATCTGGGCAAAATTCAGACACATAGGGTTAGCCCCATTAGAGTAAAACAGCTTAATCGGGGTGGAGGGGTGCTCCACAGGCACACCGGAACAACACACAGATCCAAAATACACTCACACAGGAGCAGAAGTAACACAGGAGAAATACACACGGGGTCAAACAGTACATGAACATACTGGGAGAATACACCACCTATTAATACATGGACAAAACACACATTGGACAAAGCGTGCATGCAAATATACAGAATAGATAAAGAGAAGGGCAAAACAATCGCTTACTGGGCCAAAGCTCAAAAATGCACAAAGTAGGACAGACCCATAAAAACAAACACATGTACAAGGGTAGAAGACACCGGCAGGGACAAACACACACATAAACACAGGGTCAAAGCAACTGAAACAGGGGACAACGCGTCGATATGTGAGCAAAAGCCACATACAACTCTTCCGAACAACTGGGGGTGGATAACAAGCGCACACCCATTGAAAAAATGATAAACACACAGGGAGTGAACATATCTTCACAGACTCAGCGGCAACACACTCTGACCAACAGAGATGAAACACACTCACTTAAGTGTTAGGGAAGGAAGGAACAACCACTAAGGGTCAAATCGAGCCCACACATGAACTATACGTATAGAGTTGAAACAAAGCATACATTACGATGGAATACATGGAAAAATATAGACACGCGTGGACAAAACACAAACATACAAGGAGAAATCCAACACCACACATACACACAAGTGTACTTTGAGTGGTCCTGTAGAAGTCAAATAAATTCGGTCATCTACTTTTTCAGCCGCGGCCTATTTTTGAGAATGGAGGAAGAAAACGTATCAGAACACGTGGCGATGCCTCAAACTCAAATTACTGGCTCTAAACCGAGGACTGGAGAAAACATCAAACCGTAATTACAGCTCTCTTGGCCTCTCAAATGTCAGCAGCTGATGCGTAAATGGTATTTAAGCCCCCGGGGAACAAACGGCCGGATCAGCCGACCAACTAGAAACCTCTGGAAATACAGACTGCAATAACTCGGCAGCTAACTTCACCGTGAGCGCCCGCTGTAGGGGGCGCGCAGTTTTCAGTTAGAACCACACCTTCCAGATCATGGCGATCACGTCGCCCATACACTAGACGGGGGTGGAGGAGCCCGCTGACGGTCAAGACGCAGTTTCGGTTAATTAACATCAGCAGCTTTGAAAATGCACCAATAGATTGCGACAACCGACCCTTTTACGGAAATACTGTTATTGCAACATGTGTCAGGAAGGACAAAACTAAACTTCCGGGTGCTGTTTGCGAGCCATCAGCCGGTAAATAACCTGACGGCAGAAACGTCAGCGTGTCACCGCCATGAGGGTTGTATATTGTTAATACGTGAACTAAACATGCCACAGATATAGCGCCGACAAGACCGTATTCTATCGGCAGGAAATACAACGATACGCAGATAACTGCTTCGTGTACAGTGGAGAGAACAAAGCAGGAATTCGAGTCTCTACAGATTGCTGTTTGAGGTAACACCGTTTATTAATGGCAATCAGAATCCAAACCGCTCCGCCCTGTACGTCCTCGTCACCCTGCTGGATGAGTTAAGTGTTGCGACTGAATGTCAAAACAGGCTCAAACTGCAACAAGAATCAAGCAACAAAAAAAAGTGCTAATGGCTCATACTATATGTTGGACACGAAGCTGCAATAAAAATGATGTATTTATAGATTAACCTGTAGGGTCACGCAAAGCGTTGCTGTTCGGAGATTTTTTTGTGGGGGGGGGGGGAAGGAGATGGGCGGGCTCAGGTTTGATTGACAGGGGCCATCGCGTAGGCGCCAGTTCTCTCTGAGGGCGGTGGCGCGGGCCAAGGGGGTGGGGCGGCCTCTGATTGGCGGCCGCCGGAGGTCGGGGTTGAGCCGGTGACCAATCAGCACCGGCAGAGTGCGCGAGCGGCCGTGCGTCGTGGCCGCGGGGCTTTTGCGTGGAGACGCCGGCCGTTGGATGGGAACGGGGGTAACCGCAGTGTTACCACAGGGCGCTGTAATTACCCCCTGTCAGAGCAAACCCTGAGCCCGTGACTGAGTCAAACCTCATCTCTCACTGCTTCCTCAGGTTATATCAACGACGCTTCTTGTTTTTCTTCAAGGGCACAGCTTTCTAACGGCTGTCAGGTGGTGCAACCTCATGGCCGGACTCCCTGGTTGACCTGCCCGTGCGCTTTGTTTCTTCTCCAGGGTGAAACGCTGCAATCTGCTGGCCTCCATCTCTTGGTGTTGTTGAGGGGACGGACTGTCCACCCCGCGCCATTTCCCGCTGGCCTGAGGATTGTGGGAGTCCGCCTGCAATTGCGTCGGCGGCCGCGGAGTGGCGCTGCCGAGCGATCCGGGCCGCAACAACAACTACCACTACAACAACAACCACCACTACAACAACAACCACCGCCACCAGCGCGACCACCGGATGAAAGGGAGGGGAAGGGGCAAAGGAAACAGCTGCCACCAAACCAGCGCGACCGCGGACAGGAGCAGTTCAAGCAATCTAGGCTACGGACAGTCAAAATCATCCAAAGACTTGAGCACGGCGCCTGCCTTAGCCCATCCCCATGAACAGCCTACAACGTCTGATTGTGCAGAGCCCCGACAATTCGGGTGCTATTCCGTGGTAAGTACTGATCTGTCCCTCTTCTGTTTTAATTTAGAAATTCGGTACTTTTGCCAACGTCTTCCTGGTTGTTTCGGTTATGATTCACACGCACGTACATCCGCCTCCTGGGCAGCCTCAGAATTCAGAGTAAGGATGAAGGGTTTTCCAAGTTCCAGATAACCTTAGCCAGCAACCAGGCAATTGGAAACCGACCTTGAGATTCAAGGCTGACGTGCCAGGAAAAAAATCTGTGAATTCCTCTGAAGGAGCCACCGAATGGAGAGTAACTCTTGACAGTTTGAGCTGCAATCTGAGCCGGGTGTGGAGGGGAACTGGGAAAAATTGGGAGTGTGAGGGAAGCGTTCGAATTCTGAAATAGAAAGAAGTAACTGCGGGTGCTGTAAATCTATAATTTTAAAAAAAACTTAATTAACGTTTCGAGTCCAATACAACTCCTCTTCGGACCTTCGGTTTCCGAAGGGCTATATAACTGGACTCGCGTAGATACGGCAGGACCGACTCAGATTCTCCAGCACTTTGAGATTTTATTTCGGGTTCTTCAGAGTGCTGCTGAGGGTAACGGGACAGACTGAGGTCAGTGTGATGTGGTATTGGGGGGTTTAACGAGGAGGGGTCTGAGTGAGACACTCTTTCACCCCCCCACCAGGCAAACTCCAGTTGTTTACAGTGTCACGACGGCGAGATTCGGACCTTCAAACGCCGCGTTAAACTCGCGTAGTGACTGTACGTTTTCCTCAACACCGCCTTCTGTCTCTCTCCTTGCCTCCCTACCCCCAGGCAAATCTCGCTTCGCCTACCACCCCACCCCCTCTCTGCCCTCCTACACTCCCCCATCTTCCTCTCCCTTTAACCGTCCCCTTCGCCACTCTCTTCACACCACCCCCACCACCAACCATCCCCGTCCCCAAATACCTCCAAACCACCCACTCTGTCTACATTATCAATATGCCACCCTATTCACTCTCCCCCTGCCCCATCCACTCTTCTTCCATCCTCCCCTTTTCTCCTCCCACAGTCTCACCCCCCTCCCTCCCTCTCCCCTCTCTCACCCCCGAACCAAACTGTCTCCCACCCACCTCTCTGTTTGCCCTTTTGCCCCATTCTCCTCCCCATCCGCCTCTCCTTTTCCCCCACCGTCCCCTCTCTTCCACCCCACCCACCTTTTTACCCCTACCCCGCCTCTTACTGCTCCCCCATCCCCACCTCTGTCACCCACACCCCACCTCTCTCTCTCACCCCCCAAACTCTCTCTGCCTCCTTCCCTACCCTCCTAACAACCAATTTCCCCCACCCTCTCTCCTCCTCCTCTCCCCACCTTGCCCCCCACCTCTCCACCTCACCCCATCTCTCTCTCCACCCGTACCCTCCCTCTCCCCGTCACTCCTCCCCCACATTCCCCCAACCTTCCCTCTTCCCCCCACCCTCCCTCCTTCCCCACCTCTCTTCCCGCCACCCTCCCTTCACCTTCATTCTCCGCCACTGCCACCCTACCCCCACCCCACCTCTGCCACATTCCCTCACTCTCTTTACCCCACACCCTCCCTCTCCCTCCTTCCCC